ACAACTTGTTCATCATCATCTTCTTCTTCTCCTTTTTACTTTGAGCGTATTAGTAGAAGAGAATTTTTTTTTATTTAATAAGTAGAACGCATAAATCTGCTAGTTCTACAACAAGTTCATTTACTGAACTTAATTTTTATTTGCAAGCAAATTTTTCTAATTTAGGTGAAGTATCAAGTGAACTCGAAAAATTATCCAATTTTTGCCCCCATGGCATGTGATCTACTAACCCCTCTGGTGTCTATAGTTCCATCGGAGTCTTGTTTTAGTGCAAGTACCAGGGTGCTGGATGACAAAAGAAACTGCATGAACGATGAGAGCATAGAGATGTGCATCTGCTTCAAGGATTGGCTAGATGCAAAAGATAGATTACAAGATAAGGGAGGGCATGATACAACACCAGACATTTCACCTGAAGTAGATGATGAAAGTCATGAATGATGATTCATGAATTTGATTACTTGTAGAATTTTTTATTTTTTCAAATTATTGTAAAATTTTTAAATTTTATTTAATTTACTTAATATCTTTTATTAATTTTTAAACAATGTAATTTTGCATTTTCAATTTGTAACCATATTGTATTTTTGTATTTTATTAATTTATTCCATTTTTATATTTCATTCATCCAATGCCAATCATTGTATTTGTAATTCACTAATTTGTACCATTCAAATTTAAATGAAATAAAATTCCTATTTTTCTTCCAATTTGTTATTCCATCATTCTTATTTCAATTTGGCTAAGTATTTTTTTTCATTTATGTATTAAATAACTTAGATTTCTCATTTCTTAATTTTTTAAATAGTTCCTAATTCCTAAAGTTCATTGGAAAGTTAAATATTTTAGTTTTATAATTTTACTTAGAAAAGAAATCAAAATTTTCAAAAAAAATAAAAAACAGTGCAATCCGATTCGGCCTAGGCCTAAGGGCTGCCTTGTGGCCCAGCTTGGCACGACCTACAGCTTGGCCTGGCCCAAGTCCTCGTGGCCGACCCCCAAAATTTCCCCCAGGGAGGACGACATAGCTCGTGGCGGCACGCAGGCCATGCCATGCCGGCCCGGCTCGGCCCACTTTACACCTCTAGTGGTTGAGGAATTTGATTCTACATTAATAGGCCTATAAACGGTATTTGAAAATCTGAATTCGAATCCGAGATTCAGCACAATCGAATCGAATTCGGATAATTCGAATCGGATATTCGGTCGAATTCGAATATTAATTATTTACCAATTAAATTATTGGATCAAATTCGGATATGCATTGATTCGATCCAATAAATATCCGAACTGATATATATATATATATATATATATATATATATATATATATTTGTACATTAATGTAATATATAAAATATCTTAGGGGTAAATGAGGAAATTTGTTTCTCAAACCCCCAGTCAGCCGGCCCTAAACCCTAAATCATTCAATATTTTCTTCTCAGCCCAGGTTTTCTTCTCTCTTCCATCTCCTTGCAACCCCTAACCTTAATCCTCCCTTCGCCGCCGCTGCTGCCGCCACCGTCGCCTGAGCAACCACACCGACCACACTAGCAACTCGACGTTGCTTGAGCAACCACCATCACCAACAGGCCAGAGGCAACAGCAACGTCAGTGACAATAGTTGAGTGATAGTAGTCTCGATGGAAACCACCATCACTGACGACAACCATTATCTTCTCTATCTCTCCTTCGCCACATTGCCATCGTCAGTGATAGTAGTCTCGACGGCAACCACCATCATCGACGACAACCATAATCTTCTCTATCTCTCATTCTCCGTTGCCGCACTGCCATCACCTCTCACTGGCCACCATGAATATCAATTTGATAATCGAAATCGAATTCAAACTCAAAAATTTGATATTCGTCGGATATCGAATCAAATTCGAATATTAGTGTTCATAATCAGTTTCAAATTCGAATCTAGCCTGATTTGATTTGGATTCGATATATTTATAGGCATATACATTAATGTTGGAGCAGCTAACAGACCAACAAACCACTCCTCAGTTGATTTATCGGTTGGATGTTTAGGGCTTATCATCTCACCCCTGGATTGCTTGAATGAGCCAAATTGATTCAAGTCAAGCCGAGGATTGATATTTACATTCTTCAGAGCCCAAGCCCAACCATCTCGGTAAAGATTAAGGGTGAACACACATTCTATTGAAGGAAGGATCAAAGATATCGTAACTAGACCTGTTCATGGGCCGGGCTGGGCTTTGACTATTTATTAACAGAAAACTGTTAGGCCCGAGCCCGAGCCCGGCCCGACCAACGGGCCTACAATTTGGGCATGAGCCCGGCCCTGATGAAAAGCCCGAAGCCCGAGCCCGAGCCCGAAGCCCGATCTAATAAAAGAAAGTCAAAATTTTCTGACATTTTCTATTTTAATTTAAATGTTTTTTCCCCTATTTAAATGAACAATGGATCTACAAGTGAATCAATGACCTCAATCAAAAAATTTATTCAAATAGACATCACATAGGGTTTTTACTTAGGTTTAACTATAGGTCGGGCCGGATTTACTTAAGTTTAACTATAAGTCGGGCCGGGCCGGGCTCGGGCCGGGCTATTTTAGCAAAGCCCGAGCCCGGCTCGAATTTTATGCGGACCGGGCTTTTTGGCCCGAGGTTAAGCCCGCGGGCCAAAAATCCTGTTCAAGCCCGTCCGGGAGTCGGGCCGGGCCGGGCCGGGCCGGCCCGTCGGGCCACCCGGCCCATGAACAGGTCTAATCGTAACCTATACCTACCCCAGATGCCAATATGCATGTTTCATTTGTGACAACAAGGTATTTTATACTTTTTTATAAATCAATATTCAAGTCCAAGTCTATTAATTAACATTATAGTAATAGATAAATTTACTAAAATACCCATTCATAATTTGAATAGATAAGAGAATAAAATTGCAATATAATAGAAACGGGTATAATTTATGCACAAATCATTGTGTTGCTTACAATACCCCGTTCATTTAACTCTAAAAAAGACAATAGGAAAAAAAGGTTAAGAACTAGGATTTTGAGAAGACTCAATAAAGGAGAGGGCAAAACGGTCTCTAAAGGGGCAGTTTTGAAAATATCAATTCGATATGCGTATAACAACATCATGTGCTCCAATTATAACTGAGGGTAACTGAAAAAGTAAGAATTCTTGGTTGTCCCAAGCAAGAATTGAGGCACTTAATTCACTACCCCTTTGGGAGCCCAAACGTCTCAACTGTTTCAGTGTTCTTGGGTTCCCAAAGAAGCCTTTGGGAGCCAAAACATCTCAGCCCAACCTAACCGAACTCTTCTTCCTCTCAAAACAGTAAATAAACTGAGGGATTTTGCTTCTGAACTGAACTCTTCTTCCTCTCAAACCCAGCAAGTTGCAGGTTTTGCTAAGTTTAACAGGTTTGCTTGCATTTTTGCTTACAGGTTTGCAGACATTTTAGCAGTTTCAAAGTCTCAACGTTGAAAGGTTGCAAGGTTGTTGCAGACATTTCAGTTTCAAAGTTTCAATGCTGCAAACTCTTCCCGAGATCAATTTTCACTTTGTAATTCTTACAAATGCATAGGTTTTGTACCGAAAGAAAAAAAAAAAAAGCAAAAATCATTAAAAAAAGTGAATAGATTGATTCGGGTCATTGCGATACCCATTTCAACGTCCGGGTGAAGAAGGTGGCTGAAACGGGTCATTAAGATTCGCTTACGTCAAACCCGTTTCCCATAAACGGGTATACGGCGACCCGTTTTTTAAAAAATTGAGTCAATTAAGGCCCGTAATGATAATAAGTCTTGATTGTTTAATTGTTAATTAACAAAACCCGTACATCGCACGGGTCTCCACTCGTTTTCCCCAAAATGAAATGGGCTTTCAGTACTCGGCGTTACAGCTTGCACTCACGTTGGGACCGTGAATCTTCAACGAACCCTCCTCTACTTCATCAGTTGCGGGGACGAGGGACCCACTGCAAGCTCCGGCCATTAGTCGTAGTCGTCTCTATCTAGCTCATGGTCCCCGCCCGAATCATAGCCACCCCTCTACTTGATTCATGTGATTTGTGAAGGTAAAAATCCGCATGTCCGGCTTGGAAATCTGTGCTGATCAAACACCCTGTACCCCTTCTCCCCATCTCCCCATCTCCCCTTCCCCCCTTCCCACTCGCCACGCTCTCCGCTCCGCTTACCTAAATAAACAATTAATCAGTCTTCTCCAATATCAACATTTTGATTAATCAACTAATCAACTATTCCTTATTACTTAAGCTTACTCTTCCTACGTACCTATACGTTCATCACTTTGAAGATATATTTATATATGTTTGAGATTAGGAACCCCAGACTACCTATAGTCCACGCGCAGAAACTAACACAAACTTTAATTAAACCAACAGAGGCTCAGTTTCTTTATCTAATTTTCAGCTTGAAAAAACAAACAAAAAAAAAATTCTCACCTATTTTATCCTGAAACAAATGGAGTCTTAATTTATTTGATCATGGATTATTAATTTGGTTTTCCAAGGTTAAAGGGTGGTGCCGGGTACCCATGTGGTGGTGGATTAGAAAATTGGGGTTTGACTATGATTAAATAGTTTTTGTATATATGGAATCATGTACTGCAACTTTGACCCGCTTGATTAGATTCTCATCGGGGTTAGAACATTGATTAAGAAAATGGATTTATTTGGGGCGTTTACTGGTATTTGATATAGTTGGTGCCATATGGTTGGTGAGAAATATACTATCAGTAAATATATTATTTGTATATTTCACTGTTTTAGCATAGGCGTGAAGTCATGCATTTAAGAGATGAATTAACTCTGCTAATTTGACAATAAAAGAATTGTTTAGGAGACAAAACTCCCAAAGAAAATTGAGAATGGTGGTCCTATTTTTTTGTTTCAAAAAACAGCAAGGGAAGGGTAAATTATGCAAATTTTATAAATTTATGGGCAATTTGGGATAATATATGATATAGCAATGCTGCTTGTTTTGTCTCAGAATTAGAAGTATCAATGGGTTCTTAATTGCAGAGTTCAGTCATCAGTGGATCTCGACATCTGTATAAATAGCACCAATGGGTTGGGATACCAGAAACCATATTCGTATCTAGTGTTGTTGTTTATGCTTGGCATATATATAGTTTATTACTAGCTATTATTAGTATTATTATACTACACAAGCCCAACGAAGAAGAAGGCGGAGGAGTGGAAGAAACCGGTGATGGGAAGTAGAGCAAGCGAGCTGTACTTTGTGTTCATGAACTTTGATCCGGAATACGAGCGTCTTCGAGCTGATCGGTGTGTTTCTGTTGTGTTTGCTCTTCTGTTTTTCTATCTTCTTTTTGTTCTTCTCCCAATACCAAGGTCTAGTTAATACACTAATACTCTCTCTCTCTCTCTCTCTCTCTCTCTCTGGTTTCTGTACACAGAACAAAACAAGGGGCTTACGAGCTTGATTTGTATCTAAGTAACAAGCACGATCAGTTGTTAGCTTCCACGCTGGAACCGGGGACATATAACAAGAGATTCTCGTTGGTTATTGTTGATGGGTTTGCCGTAGAAATTACTGATGATCAGGTAATGTTTTTAGTACTGATGTGCTGTTTGATTTATAATATATATACATATATATATATATATGTATATATATATATATATATATATATATATACATATAAACTCCTCGTGTTTGAATGTATCATTGTTACCAGTCTTGACAAAACTAATGATTTATTTTTCTTCTTGTCCTTGATTTCTTTCTCTTTGTTTTCTTTTATAAACCAGGCCAACATGCTTAGATCTGCCAAGGGAGTGAGGGTTGTAGAGAAGAACCAAGAGCTTGCTTAGTGTATGTAAGAAGAGAGATAAATCTGCTACACATACTCCTTGTGACGGGGAGGTGGTATGTGTTGGCATGATGATTTGTAACTATATATGTTGTTTAATTTATATAAAGAGCACTTGCGTCTTGAGTTTGTTAAAGCTTCTTCCAGCCTTCAAGTCTGCAGCCTGCAGGTAGTAAATGTTGGTGAAAAACTGGGATGATGGTTGGTTTTGGGGATCTGTTCCATACCATCATTTTCAAACCATATATCTAGTTTTTGAAGCTTGGATGTGCACACAGAAGCCTTGCGTCTAACCAGGTCCAATGGGTCTTTCGGACCCAGTTATAGCTTTCTCTACTAACTTCTGTTGCAGAGCTAATATAAGACTATTAGGCATCATATTTTACTCTACTAATTAATATCTCTTGGGCCTCAATAAATTTGGGTTTGAATCGAATGGGTTGATACTTGATGTATATATCAGTGTCAATCACATCAGTTCCTTTACAAAGACAAGCATAACAAGGTGAATTCCAAGTAAAATGTTTGAAGCATTCCATTATAGAAGGCAGATTCTCTTTTTTCCTTCTTGTGTGAATTATATATATATTTGTGATAGAGATGTGTAGAATCATCTCTGTTTTTCGACAAAGTTTGATAAAAAGGCTGACATGTAGGTCATAGTATGATGCTGTCATCACATGCAACTTGTTCATGACCATCTCCCCTTGTCCATGGTGGGGAACCTTAACCTCCAGTTCAATAATTTCGGCTGTCAAGTCTGTACAGGGATCGGATCTCCTCGACTCAAGTTCAGATGTCTAAGTGTACACACATACATAATATATATATATATATATATATATATATATATATATATATATATATACTCTATATAGTGCAGTGGTGAGAGTAAAAAACCAGCAAGCATCAGCATTATTGATTCTAAATTCAACCAACGAAGAGCTTTGATTTATTAATCCTGCACAATTGTCGCTTTTTAACATTGTATTTTGTGTTTTCACAGCTAACCATGATTTCCTTGTGATACTGATCTAATGGTTAAAATGCTAACAATCTCATATAGGTGACCTTGTAGAATCACCTAGCTCATGGGATTGACCCGACCGGCCTGCCCCTTTCAGATCATCGCCTTCAGATTCAAGTTTTTATATGTTTTCTGAATGTTGTGTATACGAAACCCTAACCTAGAGGCTAGAATCCTAGAGTAGGGTTTTAATTAATTTGCAGCGAAATGTTAGATTTTATATGGGAGGTTGAGAAGTGAGAAGAGTCTTAGCCAACTAGTGACTATAGTGACGCAGAAACATCAACTAGTCAACTAGTCACTGTTACGCGAGGAATCACGGATTAGATCAACTTGAAGCTGCGTTTTGGGCTGTTTAACCAATAATAACGTCACACGTCAGCCATGCATGTGAATAGGGAAGTTGAGTGGTTATGGGGCGTATGCAATTTATGGCTGATGTGGAGTGTTATTATTGCTTAAACCGTCAAAAATACAGTTCAAGTTTAGCTAATTCAGAGTTCCGGACTCAATTTACAGCTGCTCGGGGTGCAGGGGTGTGAATTGGAGTGGATTTGGTCCAATTCGATTCAGTTCAATGTGGGTCTATTATAAATAGATCAGGTCTAATCCAATCCAATGAATATTTTGGATCAATTTAGACTGGTCCAATTCAATGTCTAGACTGTCCAATCTATTTAAATTCATTTTAATTTAGATTGGTTTCAACCCGAACCTGATCCATTGACATATATATTCTTATCTTATATTAATGGATTAGATATTGGCTTAATCCAATATAATTTTTTTATAGATGGATCAAGTCCAATCCAATTTGAATCAGATTGGGTCCGTTCAAATTGAATTTGGACTGGGTGGGGTCCAATCCAAAATCAGTCCATTGACACCCTTACTCGGGTGCATTTGCCCAGGGAAAAGAGAAGTGATGGGCATCACTCAATTACAACCAAAAAAATCAGCCAAACACCAATTGATCTGGTCTTTAGAATTAATAAAATCATAAATTAACAGTTTAACACTATGACAATATCAACGGTTTTTTACTAAAAGACGGTCCAGTTTTTCTGATCCGATCATCCAGTCGTCTAGTTTTAAAACCTATGTAAATTAGTATTCTTTTCAAATAAGTATCAGTTGTGATCGGTACAAACATGCATTCCACGATCTTAAATTAAATGAAAACATGTCTTAGAATTCGTATTTACTGTCATTTTCAACTGTTCGAAACCTTTTTACGCAAAGCACATTACCATGGTGTGGGATAAAAGAGTAATTGCATTTAATATTCTTTTGACTAAAAAGACAAACATGGGGTGAATGGATTGAAATTATTTGTGAGCTACTTCACATCTCTTAACCTTCCAAATTAACAAGGTTGATGGGGAACGGAGAAATGCAAATAGTCAGAAATTGTCTCCATTGAGAAATGAGAATACATTATACCATTTTTAATACTTTTCCTTCTTTATCTTGGTTTGAGAAATATTGTGGTTTGATCAAATAATTAGGTTTTATTTGGTACAATTTCTGTTTCTAGCTTAAACACTTTGAGCTGACCAATACATTAATCAACCCAAAACATTTTATATAGGAAACAGAATTATTGTTTGTTTACCAAAAAAATAAAAACAGCAATAGTATTAAACACAACCTTATTGTGGATTAAAGTCTTATAACCTTATACGTGCCCACCATATAATATCGAGATTGGATAACTGGCATTTGAATTTTTTAAGGCATGGTTTTCAAAACTAGATCAGACCGGACGGTTGGACCGAAAAAATTGGGAATTGGTCAGGTGATTGGTTCTGGTTTTCCCCAAAACCGGATTTTTGCCAAAACGTTTATTTGGTCAGCAAACCGCTGACCTGGGCGGTTGAACCATTCGAACCATTCAATGGTTTTGATCATTTTTTCTTTATTTATTTATTTTGTCAAAACGGGTCTAATTGGTTGACCATTCAACCCGAGAACTGGACCCCTGACCGGTTCGTTGTCTAAATCATTTTTAAAAACCTTGATTTAAGGTGTAAGGTAGTATTTACAACCCATCATTAATCCAATTGGTTGGACCACTTTTTCTGTCATAATTTCAGTTTGGGTGTATACTAGCATATTATAAGGGAGAGGGGGGATTTTGTTGATTTGGTAAATGACTTATCGGTTTGAACAATTGAAAAAATGAGTTTGGAGTCTTTGGACAGTTGAACCATGCATTGACCTATTAATTTGATGCATTTTGTTTTCAACTTGTAAGTAAACTGACTGCTTAGACCTGTCAACCCATCACCAGTCAGATTTCCGTGTCTCTTCTTCACCCGAATCGCTTAAGAGTTAAAGAATTTACTTGTTTGACGACTAGACGACCCTAGCGGTTAAACTTCTGACATGTTGACCCAATGGACTGTTTGGTTGCTGAGAAAGGATGTGATGAGAAGGGAAAACTTTTTTCTCAAATCTGTCACCTGTGTTTGGTTGTTGAGACCAGTTATCCTACCAAATCTGCTTTCTAGTGTTTGATTGCTGAGAAAATTTTACAGGATTGTTGGATCTATTCTAGTTTGACAAATCCATACATTCTCCAATTTCACATCACAAGACTTGTTTTGGGGCGACGTGATGACATGGCACAATTAAAAATTCCTATATAGTAAATATATATCGTACTTGAAATAACTAATATAAACGGTTTCATCAAACATGTCATAGGTCAATTCCCTAATTACCAAATATTTGCAGCTATCATTTAAACAAGTATAATATTAACATAACCACTAAACTAATGACCAACACAGGAATTTGGTGCCTTCACCTTCGTGCTAGTATCCTTTATATGGATCCTAGAAGTGTTCCCTACTGTGGAGTTCTGAGGTATTGGATACATATTGCACTGGTACTGCTACAATTGGAATACTGCCTCTTCGTAAGTATTATAGGAGCAAAAAATTTTTCCGCTAAACCTATGCACCTGGGCATTATATTCTGCCTACGTGAAATAGATTCCTGGTCGACGGCCTTTGAGCACAATGTAATATTTTGCCATATGAGTACCTATACAGATGTAAATATATATCTCATCAAACATGCAATTATATCATCAATAAAGTTGCAAGATGTTTGGTTTCACCAAACACTTGCTAATTAACCTGTGACCCATATCATACATTTACAACCAAGCACTACCATATAAAGAGAAAAATCACAATCACAAATTGCAATGGATTAAATTCAATGCATTTAAACTTGTAACTAAACCTGTAATTATATCATCCATTAATCAATCAAGTTGCAAGATGTTTGGTTTCACCAAACACTTGTTAATTAACCTGTGACCCATATCATACATTCACAACCTGTGAATAACAAGTCGCAATAAAAAGTTTATATAGCATCTCAATCATTGTGTATATGTTCATACAATATCTCAAAAATAATATCCAATGCACCCCAATAAAAGTCAGTAACAAAATGATGCAATGGATATCTAATTAGTTCAAGTGTCTATCAATGTCTAAAGAGAAGTCAACATCCAATGTAGTATTCGGATGCAAGCTTCATATCCAGTCAYGTTTTCCTCAATTGAGGCCTAAGGGCATAAAATACTATTGCCTTATTCTCTAACTGAGATAAGAAGTCTATCACCTTAATGAGGAATTTCGGGTTGTCATCCCAAAGGTTATGTACATCCTAAAAAATTTGGTCATTCTTTAAGAGAGATGTGCTATTCTCAACTACATTTGCTAGCGACGAAATGCTTCGGGCAATTGTCTGCACTTCATTAGAAACAATGCTAGCATATGTCTTTCTTGTCCCCAACGAGCTTCTCCCTTTAGCAGAGCTACCCTCTTCTGGTGGCCTAGCCTGTAGGTTAGTGTCACTGGCATTGTCCCCCTCATCTAACTCCTCATACACTGGTTCCTACATTGCTTGCATGTTATTTGGAGTCATTGAGGTTGTCTCCCATGCAAGTGCCTCCCTAGCAGTAAAGCTCCAGTCCTAGTTACTTGATCATTACCACAGGCTATTGCAAGTTGATCGTAGTTATGGATTGTCTTCCTTCTAAACTGTTTTGCCTTAGGGTGTGCCTGGCCATTTGTTATGAATAGTTT